CTTGAGGGTATTTGAGAATAATATTTGGACCAAAGAGGGAAGAAGTAGCAGGAGCCAGGAGAAAATAATAAAATGAAGAGCTTCACAATTCGTAATGTTCACCAAATGTTAATAAGGTGATAACATCAACGAGAATGAGATGGGTGAGACATTTAATACGCATGAAGATAATGAGACATGTATACAGTTGTAGTCAGAAAACGTGAAGGAAAGAGAACACTTGAAGGACCTAGGCGTAGACGGGACGATAATATTAAAATAAAATTTTTAACAAATAGGGTGGTTGTGGTTAATGTGTCTCCATAAGGCAAGGAATTTCTTGACTATCCGAGCTACTGTCAGCTTCTCGTGGGGTTAGTGATGAACTGAAGTAATCTAATGTATTAGTAACGGTTATTCAGAACGTAAGTCTACTGCGTTCATAGAAAATTACACTTCTGCGAATACTTCAACCAGGTGACGCAGCATGAAAGCCGTCTCTCCTTTGCAAATCCCTCAGAAATTGCAATTTTCACTACGGTACTGCGTGTTACAATTAATGATGTTTAGCTTTTCTGAAATGAACTGGAGCCGCCGACTTGATTTTCCACTCAAACACTTAACAACAATCCGAAACCATCACCGTTGCTACAAACCTTGCAGAAACCTTGCAATTAATACTTGTTCATTTTGTTCAAGAAATGTCACGACACGACCCAGCGATTGTACCGTAGTCTTGGCTAATTTAGTCGACATAACACATTTTTCGTTTCGCAAAGATCCAATAACGTTATTCTCCATATACAGGGTATACACAAAAGAATGGTGCGGTTTCAAAAGTTAATAAAAAAATTATTTCTCACCTTACACGGACACAACATACACCGTCAGTGGCGGCAACTGTCCAAGTTTCTCTTGTGCTACCAGCAGTTCGCTTCTCATGCTTACTGCGAGGCCGCGGGACCAGTTTCAAAGATGGCGTTGCAGCAGGAGAAGGCTTTCTGTGTGCTCCGTTTTGAGGTGTCCCTTGGCCACCCCGTTCGCCAGATCTTACACCGTGCGATTTCTTTCTTTGGGAGTTCGTTAAAGACAGCGTTTATGTACCACCATTGCCCACGTCCATCCATGAACTTCGTGATCGGATAACGCATGCACTGCAGGTCATTACAGAGGACATGCTACACCGGGTCTGGGACGAGTTTGATTACCGTGTGGATGTGTGTCGTGTGACCCAGGGTGCAGACATTGAAGGATTGTAATTAACGCATGAGAAACTTGAACAGTTGCCGCCGCTGACGGCGGATGTTGTGCCTGTGTAAGGTGAGAAATAAATTTTTTATTAACTTTTGAAACCGCACCATTCTTTTGTGTATACCCTGTACGTCTTACGGAGCGTTCACGACGAAGCAACTAGCATCGGGCAACAGGCTATAGACAATGTATGTTGCTTATAGAAACAGCATGCAATACAATGTGAGGTGTTCTCAACGGGACGACAGCGATATCGCTTTTAAAATTATCGCTCGGTTGCAGGCGATACGTGTCGAGAGCAATTCATATCGCTTATCGTTATGGAGAGGGGTTGTTTGTGCAGTGTAGACACCAAAGTTTCGAAGAAGCCTGCCGTTTCCATCTTCAGCCCTGATACTGTATGTTTATCTGAAACAGTGGTATCTACCCAAGGGTCTACACGGCGTTACAACCAAGTACATCCTTATTGTTTATTTATGTGGGTTTATTGTCGGTTTAATTGAGACATCTCTTATAAATAACCTAAACAGATATTTAGGATTTCCAGAGCCAGTCGCATCGACCATGATACTTCCATTAGAATGCCTACTGAACAAGCTTTTGTCTACGGTTTGGTTAGTAGGAATAAGCACTAATCACCATTATTGTAGTCTACGTGTGGGATTAATCTTGGCAGAAGAATAAGGGATGGTATTATGTGTGGAAATTAATTAAGAACAAGATTCCTCAGAAGTTTCTTCAGTTTTTTGTTAATGAATGTGTACTGTAATGTACTGTATACTGTTCATTCTTGTCGTCGTACGTACGCCGTGGCCCAAATAAAAGGTAAATATTTATTTATCTCATTATATGATGATTTACCTGCCGCTTTGATTACTTTTGCTAGAGTTAAATAAATAGCTTTGTTGTTAAATTATACAATGGAAATGTTTAATTAAAGTATAAGGACTGTGTAGTAATGATTTAGCACCCTTAGTTAATTAATAAGTATGGCATTCATAATTGATTAAAGTAATTTGTCTCCCTGTTGAAAATGTAGTGGGAGTTCACAAATAAACCAGCATATTCGTACTTTATGAAATTTTATTTCGTTTATTTAGTGTATCTACATATTCGTGAATTATTTTTAAAAAGGAAAAGTAACAAATAATTGAGAACGCACCAAACTTACGACAAGTCAAATGCTCTACTCGTGGTTTATTTTATCATTTTAAACAGATCGAAATCATGGCGATGTTTGCAGTACGCTAGACATTAGGAGGCCTTACTTGGACCGAGAGAAGAAAAGTAACTGCTGTCATATGATTGTATGGTGATGTCTGTTTTTGTTGCAGGGGTGGGATGGACGTATTGAGTCTGGACCAGGAGGTGGGCGCCTGGGACTCGGTGCTGATGGATCCCCTCACAGAGGATAGCTTCATCGCAAACCTGCACCAGCGCTTCAAGCGGGACCACATCTACGTGAGTAACATCAGCTTATACTGACTTGCGTGGGAGGTTGCTAATATCAAGATGAATCTTAGGGAGGTGGGCTGTAAGGATGGAAAATGGATGGCGTTGGCTGAGGGTCGTGTCCGGTGGCGGGCTTTGGTGTTGTCGGTGTTGGACCTGCGGGTTCTGCTACTAGGAGGTTAGTTATGGTGATGAGACGTGAGTATGTACTTAATTTTCTCTTCGTGTACGTCTTGACCAACCCCGTGTGTTTAAAAAAGTGGTCCTCATGTGTTACAGAAAATGTATTTTCCATAATATGTATTTGCGAAGTTACTGCCCTTGAGCATCGCCATTGTATGTAGTTTATTGCGTTCCTGATCGGTCTGAATACTAGGACGCTGTTAGCGAGTTGCGTTACCTGCCCCCAGGTTCAGTAACAGAAATCAGTGTCTGGTTATAAGTTTTCGCGGTGCTTCATTGTTAATGTTGACACTCCATCTCTCTACTGCTGCTGAGGTCCCACAAAGTGCTCATTTCATATACCTCACAACCTCAGTTCAGGCCTTAGAGTTTCCGTCAACAGCCATTTTTAGCCCTAACATTTGTCGCTGACAGAACCACATTAACTATTCTCCGATGAAATTCCAAACGGTCTTTCATTCCCCGCTTCTTATGCAGCTACCAAGAATTGTATGCGTGATGTAAATGCACTGTGATATAAGAGGACAATAACTACTACTCTCCACGGATAGAAAATCTGCACAGAATATTTTGACACCACTACCCGAGTACATGTATTCGACTACGATGTGAGGCTGTTGAACTGTTATCCTCTTCTCCGTATATGAATTTCGCTTTATCCCGTGGATTAGTTCAAACAAATGAGTAATTACAGTATGGTCACTACGCCATTTACGAGCTATAGGCTACAAAGCACATTCGATAGTCGTGAATCCGCTTTTCTGCATCCTCATTGATTTTTTGTGTATCGAAGGCCATTTCAATATTCTCTTTCTCGAATCATTCCACTCGAATAATTTCTTCTAGACCTGTCTTCTCCAACACTTTCAGAAGATAGGAAAGATGTAAATCTATCAAACTGTGGATGGAATTAGTTTTATTCGCTGTGCTGATCACAGTAACTTCGGTCCAAGTGTTCACCGCGGGATGACGGAAAAAAATGGTCCAGTTTCTTGACCATTCCCTTCCTTTATTTTTTTGTGGAAATTCAGAATTTCCCTGTGATATAAGCAGATCCATAAGTAGTTATTAACATGTGTCATTTAAAACCGTAGAAAATTCTACGATAACTAAATAAAATCACTTTAGGAGAACATACTTGATAGATGTGTAAGCACGTGTCATTCATAGGACACTGCAGTTATGACGGGCAGAACACTTAGACTCTACGTTACGTGATAGAAATATCTGGAGTTAATTCTTTAAAATACAGTGTTTACTATAATTGTGCCACCAAATATAACATTCAGTAACTCTGCATTTTGCCTACATATTTGTGGTTTTCATATGATTTTAAGTGTTAGCAGTATTTCCCTAACCTAAACTAACCGACTGATATTTGTAACGGAGAACTGTTTTCTTTTTTAACTATATTTTAAACTATATTTTGAATTAAAATGGACGAATTCTATCTCGTTCTGATTATAGCCTCCTGTTTGGTAATAAAAAGTCAGAATCAGATTGGTAGATTACATTTGTCAAAAACTTGTCTTTGAGTCACGAATTTGGATTACTGTAGCGCCGTCTAAAGTTGGTGTAAATACTTTTTCCATGCTTTTGTCCTGCCTTAACTTGAACGTCTTCATTTCGTCTTAAATGACATGGAAAGGCATATCAGTCTGTGGCTAAAACCTAGGTTACTGAGATAAATTCAAACTTTTTGTAGCGTTTGTCATGTGAATTGTTGATACAGGGCACATATCAACTTTACTGAGAACTGTCCGCATCGGGCAAACGATAAGTTTGCATTGGAACGAACAACTTCGATTCCAGAAATGAATACTCTCTCACAGAATAGATCCCCTTACAGTATTGGAATTTAGTGTGTTTTAATGAATTTTATTGGTCTTCTTAATACCTTTCATTCCGTGTACCTATATAATACAGCATACTTCAGTGCCCAACCACATTAATTCACTGTCGTTGTTTACTATGTCAACATAGGCTTTTCCATTCTAAAATAATTATCATCAGTGCCTCAATATTGTCTGTTCTATAAATTGGTTTGACAAGAAACTCCTTCACATACTTATATAAAACTTTTGTGTTGATGTCACTAAAATCCTTAAAATATTAACATTCTTGAACGTAGTTCCCTTAAGCCTGTCCAGGCTATTATTCTCTTGACTTGTGCATAGAAGTTTTAATACTACCGAATAACCATGGATGGTGTATCTCAGCATAACAAGGAAATTCAGCCCTGATGATGAGTATTTTAAGTGTATAATGAAATATTATCAGGGCCATCACCCTAATGATGGAGGCAGCAAGCACCTCTGGAACGTCGGCAGACTTCTATCAGAACACGAGGCACAGTGACCCAGAAGACAGCATCTTCATATTCACTGCCGTGAGAACCTGAAATGTCACGTGTTTACGTGTGTGTTCATGCTGACCCATGTACATGGAAATGTCTCATTCAAATAACGGGCTCCTACCACGCCAGAAGGTGCACTTATTTTGCCCACGTCATTAAGGATTCTGTGAATGTTCCCTCCATTAGTAAATTTATGTACTTAATCTTTAATTTTTTCCCTTTTTTCTGAGTTGACACTGTCGACAAACAGTTGCTTGTGATTTATGGAAATAAAAAATACATATCTAAAAAATGGCTTGTGGCTGTTTGGTACAGAATGCTGTAATGTAATTTGGCTCAGAGCCTAGGAGTGGTGACATTTCTTTTGTTATTTCTGTTCCAACGTGCAGATAGTACTAAAGAAAGAAAAGTAGGATTGGAAATTTTGCTCTTATATGTCGCGGCCCCTACCTAATTACAGCTACCATCACTAGGTGTGAAATTGACGGTTGATAAAGGAAGTATCATTCGGTACTTTTGTTTTTGATCTGAACATAATTGTGCAGAACATTGCCCACTTTCGAAGCATATTAGCGGAACTCGGGATTGCTAAACAGACGTCTAGCTGTGTCTGTGATGATTAGCCCCAAGTGTTCGTCTTCCGACGGGTCGGTAGCCAGGAAGGTGTTTTGGGTTTCCGGTTAAAGTAGGGATTTACTTTTCCAGAAAAAGCCATTACAAACTCCTTGTTAAGACAGTGCATCTTGCAATGTAATGCATAAAAACCTGACGTTCTACCGCTTAGCTAACGTGCTTTTTCCCAAGAAAGTGTATTCCATTTAAGCTGCTCCACTTTTAAGTGTTCCTACGAGTGGGTGAGGGTAAATGTAACAAGGTCCATTATGATACCGGCCACTTACCGAATATGAACAGAAACAAATTTTGTCGCCTTATTCTTCGAAGGTTGTTGCGCTTTCTTACTTCAGAAGGATTGCGTAGATGCGTTAGTAATTGTCAGCATTAACCATGCGCGTGGAAACCCAAATATTTATAAAGCAACGGGAGATAGCAACTTTCATTGCCAGGTGCTTTGTTGTCCTATGCAACGGTGTTCCCGGAATAGAAATAATTGTACTCGTAACAACGGTTTGTGTTTCTTGTTATGCGTTTTTTGCACGAAGTCTGTGCATAATAGATGATTTTGGCTGTCTGTCCATCCGAATGTTTCATCTCCGAGACTGTTCGTCTGATTTTAATTAAATTTTATGTTAGGGGTTCATATGAAAAAGTAAGTGTGATTTCATTTTGTTTGGTAGCAGTTAAGTGTATAGGCTGTTCTACTTTACATGAAGCTGAATTGTAGCAAAATCTGCAAAAATATCGTTTTTCAAAAACTTGGACATAATGCAAAGTACCTCTTAAAATCTTTAGTCCTTATTTGGGCATTTATGGCTGCCAAAAATATTTTAATAAAGCACAGGGAAATGTTATTTCTGACTCTGCCATAGAGATTGAGGCAGTGTGTTCCTACGAATCCATACGGAGCCACAACCCAAACCCAGAAGATCAACATTGACTCCATTATGTATAGTACCAAATGACAGACGAGGTGTGCATTTAAAACTACCTGAGGGAGTCTTTCTTTTTCTATAACTTCTTGTTTCTCATCTTGAAATCGGCGAGCCTCGCGGGTGTCGTTTCTCGTCCTACGGTCATTCTCTGCATTTGGCCGGACCGCCCGCTTCTGTAGCTGCTTTCCCTGATGCGGACTGCCTCTACTGGCTCCCGTCCAGACACTTCAATTTTCTCTTTTTGTTTGTTCCTTCTCACTCGAACCTCTGTCTCTTTTCCAACAACTTTCCATTTCACCGTCCCTTATTCCTTTTATGTTTCACTTCTTATTAATTATTTGATTCTTTTTCAACCGCGTTCACAGCTAAAAGTTGCAAAATGCGACTCTTAGCTTCTCCGTCTGTCTGTATACTGGAATGTGACAACCACCAAACTGATTTTCAGGAAATTTGCTCTTGGGTAGTCTTTCATTTGTCTAATATGCCGGTTTTTGGCGTAAGTCGGACAATCGCCGTTAATACTTGGTCACGATTCGAGTCAGGTCGCTCCATCTTCCGTCATCACATCCCATCTCTCTATGTGATTCATCTCTATGTTAACATCATCCTATTTTCTTTTCGGTCTTTCAAGTCACCATTCCACGAAAGGTTTCCTCACAGAAATTCTGTATGCTTTACCTGTCTCCGTCATTAGAGTATATACGTTCTTCCCATCGCAGTCTCTTAGACTTCACTATCATGACAAGGGTGACATGTAAAATTAGGAATATCTTCATGATATAATATCATAAGCTTCCCTCGTGCTTCAGGCTTCTTTGGCCCGAGAAAATTCTGCAAACTTTCCGAAACATATGTAATGTATGTTTTCCCCTCATGATAGGATGTCATTTCCACAGTTAACGCAAAATAACTCGGAACCC